TGGCTTCCTTGGGAATCCTCTTAGCCCTTTGTATTGGCTCTTAGGCACGTAAGGTGCTTAAAAAGTTGTGTTGAAGAGCTCCAAGAATTGGTATCTTTTATATTGGACAGGCTTTTTATTTTTTTAAGATCAAGACTCTGGATTTGCTGTAGACTTCAGGTAGTGAATGGCCTCATTTGAATTTAAATGCTTGTGAGGAGTGGGCTGCTGTGGCTGATTCTTTCTTTCCTGGGAATAGTGGATATGTGTATAGGAAACTGCCCTTTTGAGTAATCTGCTTGGAAGTGCTTCTCCTGCAAAAATTTGTTATAAAACTCCCGCACAGTGAAAAGTGGCGTTTTTAAAAACAGCTAATAATTTAAACTTCAAGAATGGAGGCAATAAACGTTGAAAACTGAAGCCAGATTAAAAATATACATTCACATTTAAACATTTTGGGTGGAAGTATGTATACACAGATGAGATTCCTAACTGATCCATACCAATTCCAGAAAATCTCTTATTTAAAATCACTTTAAAAGCCAAGATTGTTTGATCCAAAAGGTAACTTCTCAGCACCACCTTGTGGTAACTTTTAGTTAAAGCAGAATGTTGGCTTCATTGTAGGATTTATATTAGTATTACAGAGTACAATGGAGAAGTAGAAAGGATAATTAGAAATACTCACCTAATTTCTTCAGTACCACAGGGGAAAATTAGCACTTTAGTATAATATATTCCTAGTACCAACAAACCTGTATTTTGTGGAAACCTAAAGACTTTTATTTTAGGAATAGCGTGGCAGAGAAAAATATTTTTTTATGTAGTAGCTATTTCGTGCATAGTAATTAAATGAATGGATAAATAGAGGAAATAATGTGAAAACAGTTAACATGAAATTACTGAAGTAGTAATTTAAAAAAAAATCATTTATAGTAAGCAAGGATGCCGTCCACTGATCACATAGATGAGATGGGATTGACTGAGAAACAAGTCAGAAGACCACAGCCCAGAATTCACAGGATGCAGCAGAGCAAGGAGCTGCCTTGGGGCTTGCTACAAGCAAGCCGGAAATAAAGAGATCACAAAGCCAGCATGAACCCGGAAGCCCTGATGTGAGAGGGCAAGACATGGGGCGCCCTCGTGGTGTCGGCCCCACATTCCCCTATGGTCTCTCTAAGACTGGCTCCTCTCATGGGAACCTGTGGTCAACAATGACAAAAAGCAAGTCCCAAGCCCCAAGCTAAGCCCCAGATCAGGAAATGCCAGGCATTTGAGGGAAATCAACCCTCTGAAAGTGGCCTTAGATTCAACAAGAAGAAGTGACAGCCAAGGAATAAAGGAAAATATTAAGATAGGTGATACCTGTAATTTATTCAATCATCTACTTAACAAGTACTTATTGAACACTTCAGTTTACAACAAAAACAAAGATAAAATTTAAAAAGAGGAAAATTGGAGGGGCCACCTGACTGGCTCTGTCAGTAGATTGTGCCACTCTTGATCTCAGGGTTGTGAGTTCAAGCCCCACAATAGGTGAGGAGATTACTTAAAATCTTTTGAAAAATGGGGCACCTAGGTGGCTCAGTCAGTTAAGTGTTTGCCTTTGGCTCAGGTCATGATCTCAGGGTCCTGGGACTGAGCCCCATGTCCACCTTCCATCCAGCTTCCTGCTCAGCGGGGAGTCTGCTTCTCCCTCTCCCTCTGCCTCTTCTCCCCCCACAACCCTGCTCTGCTCACTGTCTCTCTCAAATAAATAAATAAAAATTTTAAAAACAAACACCCACAGCGTTAAACAATTAACTATAGATAGAAAATTTGTTGTTAGAAGACATTTTATGAATGCCTCCTACTTAAATTTTATTGTCACATTTTCAAAGTTTCTTCCATTAAATGGTGTGTATATTTTCTTTGTAGAATTTGAAGAGAGAATGATTTTTTTGTCATTTCTTAATGGGTGGCTTTTATTTTGCTAGAATTCTTTTGCACCTTTGCCATACCCATCCATTTAATTCTGTTTAATTTTGGAGTCTCTGTTAGTACAAAGGAACAGGTGAAGAAGTTGCCGTTTCATTGTTCCATGTGACATGGGCTCCCTCTTAATAGGAATATTTTTTCCATGTCATAATGAGAAGTGGTTCATAAAATATTATAGTTTTGAAAATGTCAGCCTACTAGTTTTAATCCTAATGACTTGTTTGGCATGAACCTTTGGTAATAAAGTCTTCAGAGGCCATGTTTTATATCCCTGGTTATCTCTAAAGACTTAGAATTTAAACTAAGGAATGTATCCTGTCTCTCTTGCTTTATATTATGAATACATAATGCCTATCTTATATTGAAGAATGTTCAGAGGCTAATATGTTTTCCACCTGTGGGTAAGATATGAAAATCATATTGGAATTGAGTACTAAAATTACAATTACCTTATGTTTAAAATATCATTTATTCTTTGTTCTTTGGTTGTGGTTTTGAGGGAAAGGGGGAGAAACCAACGAAAGGTAAACTCGCCCCCTCCAAAAAATATTTAAAATTCAAAAATTCATTAATAGGCATTTCGTGGAAGAAAGGGACATGGAACAATCTGTGTTTGAGAAAGTGTTTATCCTCACAACTAACAAAAGGGAATTTAGACTTAAATAACATTTTTGGCTATCAGATTTGCAAGATTTTCCCTGATAGTATTCTGTGGTGCAGAGGGACGAAGAAAATGGCATTGTCATGTATTGGTGGTAGAATAAGGTCACACCCTTCAGCCTGTTCTTAGGTTCAGCTAAGCATTCAGTGTCTCCTGACTGCAGTAAACCACGTCGGGTCTTAGTTGCTCAGAAGATCGAGAAGCCTGGAAACCCGGTCAGATGGCAGGATGGCATCAAGTGCTTACTCTTCAGTGGGAGACTTCATGACGCTCCCCGTAGTTGCCCAAACAGCCATCTGGAAGCCATTTCCTTTGGTATCCCAGGTGACGTCTTAGGTGCTAAGAAGTGACATCCCTACTGGGGATACGGGAGCCTCCCCGCTCTAGGGCCTCAGGCCCCAGGAGCGGCTGTCTATTGTAACACCTTCCCAGTGGGCTTCCTAGTTTCCTGCAAGGAGTGTGGGTGTTAGAAGAGGCACCAAACTTGGGAACACCTAAGCCTGTGATGCCTGTTAGGTATTTATAGTTCCTTCAAACCATTTATCGATGGGGGGTTATTTTTCTCCTCAGCAACATTGCTCACCAATTATCAGTGTACCTTTATCAGGTTTCTAGAGGAACAGAGCTAGAAAGTTAAAAGTCAGATTGTTTCACAGAGGGAAGGGGATTTTGTTAATCCTTGACTCACAAAAAATGAGTGTGATCTCTTTTTTAGAACACTATTTGACTCTGTATACTGGAAGCTTTAATTGTGTGTGTCTTTTCAACCCTGCAGTGTTGTTTTTAGGGATTCATTGTAACAATAAGATGTATGCCAAAGATGTTTCTGTATGTAGGTAGGTTCACTGAAGCATTATTTGCGATGAGGAATAATTAGTGACCACCTAGACGCAATGGGTTAGGAAAAATACACTATGTTCATATTATGAATACTGTGTGAGTTTATGGAATAAGTTTTTCCAGAAATAAAAGACATCGAGGGGCGCCTGGATGGCTCAGTGGGTTAGAGCCTCTGCCTTTGGCTCAGGTCATGATCTTGGGGTCCTGGGATCGAGCCCCGCATTGGGCTCTCTGCTCAGCAGGGAGCCTGCTTCCCCCTCTCTCTCTCTCTGTCTGCCTCTCTGCCTACTTGTGATCCCTGTCAAATAAATAAATAAAATCTTTAAAAAAATTTTTTTAAAAAGACATTGAAAGGGTTTATATCAAAATACTTAGTGTTTAACTCTGATGTTCTTCTGTGTAATTTTTATTTTATCCATGAATGACTAATTTTTAACTTTGACCATGTGTTACTTTTCTAAATGACTGTGTTTTACAGAAATGATCAATGAAGGTCACTTTAAATGCAGGCTCCTTAAATTGAATAATCATACATTTTAAGAGTTTAATACCATTTAAAAAGCCTCAACCTTGAACTCCTGTAATGAAATTTTATGCATTTTATAATCTCAGGTGTGTGTTGATCTTGAAATATATCAAGCCAATGAAATCATTCTCCGTTCATTTTCTCATAGAAGTTATTTATAATTTCTAACTTCTAATTAAAATCTCATAAATTATAAATCTATCAAAACTGATAAATAAATACAGTTTGTTTTTTTTTAGTTGGTCTATAGAATTACTCTTTGGGACTGAGGAGGTTAGAATTGTTATGGAAAGAAGCTGTGGTTTGGTGATTAAATGGGAAAAGCCATATAAGCATATATTTGCACATTTGGTAAAATTTAGATGCCAGCCGTCTGCTCTTTTTGTCAAGTTTTGGATAGGGTAGTGTGCGCCATCATTAATTCCTAAGGGGCTTTAAATACACACACACACACACACACACACACACACACACACACACACAATCTATTTTCCATCTTCCACTTAGTAGTATGCCTACATCATGGTTTATCACCCCCTCTGCTGATAGTCTTGCCACTCTTTGTTTCAGAAAACATAAAACAAATAGGTCCTCAAGGGGTGCGTGGTACTTAAAGGAGTATTGAAAAGGAAAATACAATTTGAGCTGGACTTTCAACAAAATAAGAATCGTAGAAGGAGTACCCAAGGAAATGTTCATTGGATTTATTGCTGGCTATTTTGTATTAATTGTATTTCTTATTCTCCCTACAAATGGATGGTAGAGAGTTAGTTGACCCTATAGAGATGCCATGTACTGAAAAAGATTGGTCTTTGGGACTTAGCCTGTGATTTTAGTCCCTGTCCACCAGGGACTGTTACCTCAGAACTCAGTTTCTCCACCTAAAAAATGAATGGATTAGATAGGATAATCACTTAGGTCTTTCTCAACTAAAAAAGCCCTTAGGACTTAAGTAATTTTTAATGCTAAGATTTATGGTGATAAAACTTCTGAACTGATAATTTTATGTTCTTTCAGTTTATACCTGTTCAAACTAGGGATAGCGCCCCAGATCCAGGATTTGTTGGGCAAAGTAGACTTCACAGGTATGACTCTTCATGATTCTTACACTGTCATTTACTAAGAAAATGTATCCATACTTTTCCTTTTGACAGCATCAATTCCCATTTTTCCTCTATATCTATCAGAAGAGAAAAATTTACTGTGTTTGTATTTGACCATTTTCAACACGTGTGAAATGAGAAATAGGCTGACGTTCCTAAGGTTTTTGTTCAGAAATGCCCCAACTTCTTGATGAAGACACTTTTCTCCTTTTTTTTTTTTAATAAATAATGGCATGGAATTTTTAATATTCTTTAAATAAGCCTCAAATTTCTGGGGGAGAGACCGTGGGATGAAGACATTTCTTATTATATTCATTCCTGCTTCCATCTCTGTGTCTTTCTTTGATATTGTTTGTTGTTCTTTTTCAGAGGAGGAAATTAGTAATATGAGAAAGGAACTTGAGAAATACGGAATTCAGATGCCATCTTTCAGCAAAATAGGCGGGATTCTGGCTAATGAACTGTCAGTGGATGAAGCTGCTCGTGAGTCTATTTAAAATCAGAACTTACTACTGACATGAGTCTTACCTGTACTTCATTATTGATTTTGGTTACAAGAAAGAGAATATTTAGAAGATGCTTTCAGCCCCCTTTTGAAGTTTTTATTGTAGGTATTGGAGACGGTTAAGTTGAGCATATAAGAATATAACCATGTAATTGATTTAGGCTTTAAACATCTTCTTGTGTGATGTGAGTAAGAGTTTTCAGAAATACCTTTATTCCAAATGCTTCTTTGCTTTCCGCATCATCAGATTTAAGTGGTAGAGAACATTGCTGTGTTGTCCTTTAGTGTTGCCGGTTAAATGCCCAGTATCATTTGGAAACAAACTGGTACTTTAACAGTGTCCGTACTCCCCCCTTCATCCCTCGAGGGTTGACAGTGCTTAGTTCATTTTAGGCATTCGTAAATTCATAGGGATTACATGGTGGATGCTGAGAAAGGACCTAGGCAGGATGGGCAGGTGGAGACATTGTCAGAGAGGTGCTCTGTGAAGTGTCTAGGTGTCATTTTTGGCCATTTTAACTCGAAGCCAGAGAAGGAAGTAAAACTGCTGACGTTCATGCAGTGTCCGTGCAACTGTCCTTGTTGCCTCTGGCTCATGAAAATCATTTTTTTCCCTCTTTCCAGTGCACGCTGCAGTTATAGCCATTAATGAAGCTATTGAAAAAGGAATAGCCGAACAAACCATTAAAACGCTAAGAAACCCAAATGCAGTTTTAACTTTAGTAGATGACAGCCTTGCACAGGAATACCAGAAGGAACTCTGGGAAGCCAAGAAAAGGAAAGAGGAAAATGCAAGACTGAAGGTATTTAATAAGATTCTCAATAATATGGCTCTGAGTGGTAGGTTTGAAAAAGCCTTGATGTTACCAGTGATCATTTTAAATCACCTGGCAGTGGTCTCTATAGCCGTAGGCAGTTGGCTTGGGTGCAGTGTAAGGGTAAAAACAGACCATGCACTACGTAAAGAAAAGAGGTTTCCTTTCGTGCTGATTCTTACAGGTTACAAGGGTTGAAGGTCATGTCATAAACTTAGGACTTTCCCAGGAAGTGTGGAAGTAGCGGCTCACCATCTTCCCTTGTTCAGCCTCACCTGCAGACCTTGTATTCGCCGAGTTACCTGTAGATTTGTTAGTAGAGGTTCATGACTCGGTATGATGAAGTGGGAGCTGATGTTTTTGAATTTGCTGTCCTATTTGGCCTTCCCTCCTCTGCAAGAAGCCTGACCCTGCCTTCCCGGCTAGCGTGACTGAAGGCTTTCTTGGTGTGCCCAGTTTCCAGTTCCTGGCCATCTTTCTGCTCCTTAACGTCTTGCCCTGTCAGCCTCAGCTCCGTCACCAGAACTTTCCACTCGATCTCGCTGCCTTGTCTGAGCTGGTGGCTTCTGCCCACATGTGGCAGGCTTGCCCACCCCGCCCGCCAGCCTCCCATGGTGCTTTGGTGCCACAGCTCTCCTCTGCCTCTCTCAGTGTCTCTTCTCAGAGTCTCCTGCCTCTACCTGCGGGGATTCTTTTAAGGTCTGGCCTCGAGTCACGTCTGTCTCTGTTCTTCCCAGACAAGCTCATCCATATACTGAGGAAAGCGGCTGTTAGTTTGCTATCAGGCCCCTCGAGTGGCCCTCCAGGTGACTTCATCTCTGTGCCATGGGCCTTGCCCCTCACCATCTAGGAAGAGTGCTTACCTCTACCCTGCCCTTCTCACACATGTGCCCTTCCCTGACTTGCCTCTGGAATGACTCCCACGATGTTTCAGAACTCTGTCCACACCACCCCCTCCAGCCCTCTGTATCCTATCCCTCACTGCATTCTGTTACCTCGTCTTGCCAGACTTACCTCTGTCCCACACCTTCCAGTCTTGCCACTCTGGACCCAGCCTCACATGTGACCCCATGCACATGTGACCCCACCTCCTCCCATTCTGCAAGCCAAACCCTCACAGACTTAGAGGTTGCAAAATTAATCTTTAACTCCAGATCGGATGTCAGCCCCCCAGAAAGCTCCTTGGATTCCCTACTGTCTACCTATGGAGTTAAGTACAGATCCTTCACTTGGCCTTAAAATGCCTCTGAGGGGCACCTGGGTGGCTCAGTGGATTAAAGCCTCTGCCTTCAGCTCAGGTCATGATCCCAGGGTCCTGGGATCGAGCCCCACATCGGGCTTTCTGCTCAGCAGCGAGCCTGCTTCCTCCTCTCTCTCTGCCTGCCTCTCTGCCTACTTGTGATCTCTCTCTCTGTCAAATAAATAAATAAAATCTTAAAAAAAAATTGCCTCTGAAATGCCTGCCCAACACCCCCATCTTTCTGGCTAACCCTGGACACAAACTCTATGCTATAGCCCAATGTGCCAAGCCATCTCACCTTTGCAACCAATCCTGTCATCTATACCCTGCTCCCCACTCTGCCTTCGTAACTAACTGCTCCTTTCCTCCAAGCCCTTCTCAATTGTTTTCTCTTATTCAAGTGTTATTTCCAACTGACTATGTACTTCTCCTCTAATATGTGTTCTGTTCTGTGTATATTTGTTATTTATGGTGTCAATTTTATTAGACTGGATCAAATGAAATTGCCAACACTCCACTGACTTGGATCTACAATAAATGGCGATATGGTCAAGGGGTCCAACATGATGTTTGCCACATTAGACAGTTAGGCCCTCTCAAGAGAGTCAGTGGGGCTGCTGTTCATTTTTGTAATCTTTGCCAGGCGTACCTAACCCTAGTGCCCTGCACAGAGCAAGCATTTTTCGATGTCTATATTGAATTCAAATGAATATAAGTAAACGGCTGTTCTCACTCTTTGCCTTTTGCTTTTGAATACCGAGCTTTGGAAATATTTAATTTAACCTCAGGAATCAGTGAAGACTTTGTTTTGTAGAATAACTGTATTTCAGAAGAAGAAAGAGATGCCTACGAAGAACTGCTGACTCAAGCAGAAATCCAAGGCAACATCAATAAAGTCAACAGTAAGTAATGGCTTGGACAAAGGAAGTGGATATGCCAGAAGACACAAATTCTCCTTATCAGAATCTCACCAAAACTCTCCACTGGTATCCTTGTAAAACTGCCTTATGTGATGAAAATTCCACTCAATGTCAGTGTTGTGCTTAATTATGCCACGTTGTCCGGCAGTTCCCCATGGAAATTTTGGGTAATCTCGCCCCCTCTCTGCATGCAAAACATCTCAAAGTATCATGAAGCTGGTTTAGCTATCCCTTCCTGTTTTATCATAGGTGCAGTGTATGTCCTCTTTTGAACCTGTCCCTCACTGGGCTAATATGGAAGGCTCTTCAGTAAAAGATTATGACTTAAGGCCTGTCGTTTCTTGCCCATGATTATGTGACAGCGTTTGGAATTGGAAATGTATTGTTGACAATACATCTGCTCTTTACCACTTCCCAGTCATTAGTCTGCAGTTTGTAAGAATTGTTTCCTTACGGCTTGTATAGTTTTTTGGCAAGTGAACGAGCCTGGATAGGCCAGTGAAATGGCATGGCGGCAGGTTTGATTCCCATGTCCCTGAACCTCTATGGAGCCTCACGGTTCAGTTCCTCTTTGTACCCATTTCAGTTGTGTGACTATAAAGAACAGAAAACTCAGGTAATTAAAATGGGCATATGCAAGTTCAGAGAGATTATTAGTCTCTTCTTCACTCTCTTATAAAATGTGGTTTTACTTGAAGCAGTAAGGAATTCTACTTGACATTTATTTTCCCTAGGGCAACCTAAAGAGCTCTTACATGCACAAAAAATGAATATGTGAAACACCATTTAGCCCATTTAATGAAACATGTGAACCATCAGCCAAATTTAAACTTGGGAATATCCACTAACTATAACACTCCTAAACTATGTCTTTGATTCAGGCTCCTAGATGATTTTTGAATGTTCTTAACACCTTCAAACAAACTATAGGTTTTACCCTGAAGTTTGCTCCCAAGTTGCTGGTAAAGACCTACCCAGAGGGTCCAAACAGTAATCAAGGAGGCCCAGAGAAAATTGATGTAAACATCTAGAAGTTAACCACTGAGTAGGTTTGAGAATTTCCCTCACACACAAAACTGCTGAGAGCGCCCCGGTAACTTTTTTTAAGCAAACACCTTGACATTGTCGAATCCATGTTCCTCTTCTTTTATTCTTATTTAATTTTGAATGATTTAGTGATGATGCATGAAAGACAATTTTAAGTTTCTGCTCTGTTTGAAAGCTGAGAATTTCCTTAGGTTTGACAGAAATGAATCGCAGGAAGAAATTAATATTGCCAGCAAGACAGCTGAGGTCCATATGCTCAGTGAAGAAATGATTCCAGAACCTTTTGCCATCCTTTATTTTTGAAAAGTTTATGACCACTAAGACAGGTTCCTTCTTCATTTTAAATAAAATGCCTTGTGTACATGTTTTAATACTTGCTGACATAATTTCCCGACCACCGATTTAATGCCACATTGCTTATGCATTTTTAAATAAAAGGCATGAGATGATTTGCACTAATGAATAACCAGCTTAAATTATGCAGGACATTGCCATGTTTGATGGCTTTAAGTGTGTAAAACATGATGATTCTGAAGTTTTTTTAATCTCTCTCCATCTGAAAATTTATAGTTAAGTAGAATTAAGAAGAGTCTTGAAAAAACAATAAAGTATATTTTAACCAGTGACATGACAATAAGACAACTCTATGCTTTAAAATATACGAGTATAGCTACATGACAAGTTTTTCTCAACCCTGTAGGTTATTATACTAAAACGTTAAGGTGTCTACGTTCATAATAGCCAGAGAAGTGACATAAAGGACGGTTTTGACTGTAATGTCACCAGATCTGTTGGCGGAAGTTTCAGCTTTGTTTGACCTGCAGTCATTTAACTTGGGGTTTGGCCAATGCATCCCATTCATTACAAGACATACTCTGTTAAGACCAGGGCTGGACATTTGGTTAAATGCAGAGGATAAAAGAGCGGGAGAGCTCACTTTATTTTTTATTTTTTATTTTTTTAAGGAGAAATGGTTCATAAAGAGTGTCTTAAGGGTATGATTTCCTGGTACTCTTTTACCACCCAGTGGTGCAAACTCACAGAATGGGGTTTTCAGAGGAGAAGCAGGATCCCATCCAAATTAATGACAGACACAGCTGAGAGGCCGTGGGTGACTTTCTGAGAACAGCAGAGACCATAAATGTCCACTGACCTTCCTTTCTGGAATTTTTTGGTTGGACATATCAATTCTTAGAACAGAAAAATAGGTTTGTGTTCTTAGAGTCCTTTAGAATACGTTTAAGATTTTGATGAGTATAACTAAGAAGATTGCATTAGCTGTAAGTATTTCCTGCTATTGAAGATATGTCTCAGGAGAAAGGTTATGGAGGGTAGCTCCTTGGGAATGAGTTACAGAAGGTAAATTGTCATCTGTTAAAAGGCTTAGAGTATTCTTAGCTGCAGTCTAGTCATGTGTCAAGGAGACAGACTAACCCTTGAAAAGCTCTAGAAATCTATGGGTCTGTGTTATTTCTACTATCCTGAAACTTTTTTTTTTTTTTAAGATATTATCTATTTAGAGAGAGTGCATGCATTCTGGGATAGGAGCAAAGGGAAAGGAAGAGAGAATCCCAAATAGACTCCCCACCCAGACGCAGAGCCTGACACAGGGCTTGATCCCACCACCCTGATATGACGTGAACCAAAATCAAGAATTGGATGCTTAACTGACTGAGCCACCCATGTGCCCCGGAAACCTTCTTTATGGAGCAAAATGCTGCTGTTTCTGTCCAGTTTGCTGTAGCCTGGTGGCAGAGTCGATAGCTCATTCTCCCAATTGATTAGCAATTCTCATCCTGTTTTCTGAAAACGATGAGGAATTTACTGTTTCAGGTACCCTCAGTTTGGTTATTAAAATTCAACTCTTGGGCAACCCTCTGGGGTCCCCTCCCTCGTTAAGAGCTTTATATTGTATCATTCAATAAACCTTACTCTTGGTCAATAAACCTTGCTTTGCTGCCCTCTCCCCCAAATTAATTAATTAATTCAGGTCTTCATAATCTGAACATTGCAACTGGTAGAGATCTCACAGAGCTTATGATCTAAACCAACACATTTCTGTGATCAGGTTTTTTTGTTTTGTTTTTTTAAGGTGAAGAGATACTGGCACAGACTTATTTAATCATAGGAAGTTTGGTTATAATAGTTTTTTAAAAAACACATCCGAAATGATTTTTTCTTAAAAATCACACTTCAGAGAACACAAGAGGTGAGGGAAAAGTTTCTGAGAAAAATACCGTCCGGGGCACCTGGATGGCTAGATCAGTTAAGCGTCTGCCTTCGGCTCAGGTCATGATCTCAGGGTCCTGGGATGGAGCCCCGCATTAGGCTCTCTGCTCGGGGGGGAGCCTGCTGCTCCCTCTCTCTCTCTCTGCACCCTTCACTCATGCTCACTCTCTTTCTCTCAAATAAATAAAATCTTAAAAAGAAAATGAACAAGATGGGATCGGGAGGGAGACAAACCATAAGAGACTCTTAATCTCACAAAACAAAAAGGGGGGTATGGATAGGGTGGTGGGGTTATGGACATTGGGGAGGTTATGTGCTATGGTGAGTGCTGTGAAATGTGTAAGCCTGATGATTCACAGACCTGTACCCCTGGGGCTAATAATACATTATATGTTAATTTAAAACAATGAGAAATCCCCTCAGTATCACGCGGCACTGTCTCCCAGTGCTAACTGTGGGTTTCAGTGGTGCTGCTTCAGAGGGAGGACACAGCAATAGGGCAAGGCTGGCTTTGGGTGTTCACATAGCTTCAGTCTCCTTGCAAAGGCAGTACTGATACACAAGGAGCATTCAAGAACAATGCCTATGGGATCTATATGGCCCAGCTCTAAATACTGTGGGGTTCCCCAAGATGTGAAATCCTCAGGGACTAGGACAGTGGATGACATGAGACCAGAGCTCATCCCGAAGGGCAGGGTTTTGCAGGGAAGTCATGCGAGACAGGAGGGATCTCATAACTCCAGCTCTGTCAATGCTGAGCCCCCTTCAGGGACTTTCTCCAAAGACTGGATGGCCCTCCAGTTACTGTGTTACCACCTTCAAGCTTTCACCTGTCCTCCAGCAGCAGCTTTTCAGAGTTCATGGAAGGGGACTGCTTCGATTCTAGTCCTTGGAAAGATGGGATGCTTGGGGCAAATAGCAGGGCAAAAAGTGGACATTCTGACGGAATGTGACACTCCCAACCTCCACTCAGGGCTGGCTGCCGTGGACCACATCAATGCCGTCATTCGGGAAGGCGACCCCGGGAACACGCTGCTTGCACTGAAGAGACCGGAGGCCCAGCTGCCTGCTGTTTATCCCTTTGCTGCTGTGATGTATCAGAATGAGCTTTTCAACCTCCAGAAACAGAATGCCATGGTAAGTCTGGGGAGACTCCAGTCACAAAGATGTGAATTCTGGGTCGAAGCTATGAGGAAGGATGTTTAGGGAAGGTGAATGGGGCACAGAGTCTTTAACTTGTACCAGTCCCTGTTCCCCTGGTCTCTCTGTGCTGGGTCCAGGACTGCCTTCCTCGTTGACTCCCGCTTTTCATCTCCATGAAGAGTCTGCATGGTGAGGAAATGCAGGCAGCATTCGACACACATACACACTGAAAACAAGTTGTTCTTGGGCTCTGATTTTTGAAGCACTTTGGACAATTCGTTAACTGTGCTGAAATTTTTAAAAAATATATCATGGTTTTGAAATAGAATAATTAGCTCTGATCTGCATTTCTAGAAATTGAAGAACATTCGCACCATGGCTTTAATTTTTGTAAACTGAGTGCTGGTTAATATGAGAATGGTATTAAACAGTAATATATAAGGTTACAGTAATTAAAACCATGTGTACTAGTACAGGATTAAGCCAAACAATGGAGCAGAATAAAAAGTGCTGGAAACAGATCCAAGAATTGAATGTATGAGAATGCTAGTATTTCAAAAAGGCGGAGAGAAGAATGAAATCCTTACAAGTATTTAGCCATTTGAAAAAGAAAACGTGACCTCGCTACACATATCAGAATAAATTCCCAATGTAAAAAGCTAAATGTAAAAAAGTGACTTAAAAAAATTGAAGTTCTAGGGAAATGTAGAAGAACGTTGGATCTTAAAAATCAGAAATGAGGGGCCTGGATGGCTCAGTCGTTAAGTGTCTGCCTTCGGCTTTGATCATGATCCCAGGGTCCTGGGATCAAGCCCCGCATTGGGCTTCCTGCTCGGCAGGAATCCTGCTTCTCCCTCTCCCACTCCCCCTGCTTTTGTTCCCTCTCTAGTTCTCTCTCTCTCTTTCTCTCTCTCTGTCCAATAAATAAATAAAATATTTTTAAAATAAAATAAAAAATAAATTTGAATTTAAAAAATAAATAAAAATCAGAAATGTTCCATGAAAAAAAGGGAGGAAGGGAGGCCAAAAGCATGAATAGCCAAGTCATGAAGATCGGCGTATACAATGATAGACACACACAAACAGATATTCAAACTCAGAGGGAAATGTAAATTAATATACTGTTGTTTTGGGAAGTCAGATGGGTAGCATTGAGAGATCTAACATAGCATAGGCATAAATTCGAGGCAGCAGGCGTCTCCTCCATGGAAGTATGAATGGAACACCCTTTCTGGAGGATGGTCTCAGTCATGTGTAGGCAGGTCTCTTACCCATTATCCCGACAATTATATTGCTAGGAAAAGAGTCTAAAGAATATGAATCAAGAAGTTGTAGTCACAGGGATTGTTTCCCAGCATGTTCTGTAATTCGGAGAAGCAAGAAACAAACCACAAGTTTAACAACAGATTGCACACACTAATATCCAGTGGAAAGAATGAGATTAAAACGTCATTATCTAGAGGAGTTTTTTGTAATATGAAATTTCTGTTTAAATGAACCTCTGTAAATGTTTGTATGAATTAAAAATAAATAAACAGATATACACTAAAGGGCTTGGGTGGGAGGATTTGTTTTCTTATTCTTGCTTACCAAGACTTCTTATTTTCTAAAGAGAAAGATACTATTTTGTAAGAAAAGAAAACAGGGCATGTTCTGAAATTGCACTTAAGCTCTTATTTTCTCAATAGAAAGGTACTATTTTGTAAGAAAAGGAAAATAGGTCATGTACTGAAATTACACTTAAGTTCTTTCATTAATAGTTTTTCTTCTGCACCACCAGCTTTGAACCCCAAGGCTGCTCATACACTAGCCCAGTCATTCATCCCTAACTGGTCAATGGTCAGTCTGTGATTCTCCAGCCCTGCTGCTGCTTTGTTTTTCCTTGCCTTTGCTGCTGTATACCATGTTATTTTTGTGGACAATTACTAGAAGGAGTAGAAGCGGTGGATCTCAAATGATTCTACTGTGCTCTTTTACTTATAATTTTATACCTCCCTTAATGTCTTTAACTTGTAGTTAATATAAGAAACTTGGATCAAATTTGCTTACATGCTCCCTGTAATAATCCTTTCTTCCCATTTGTTTTGGAAGGTAAAAGTATGCCTTGTTACTCTAAAATCCATTGCTGTGGGTTACCTATGGAGATCCAGAAAGCTATAATGCATTTTAATATAAATATTACATTGTATATATTAAATACAGAAAATATCCTAAACATAAACACAGTTATCAGCATTTTTTTCTATTCATTTTCTGCTGTTCCTTCAATATATGGAAGAAATATATGTTCCTTCAATATAATGGAAGAAATAACCTTTTTGAAGTTGGGCCGAGTGAGTATAAAATGGTTAAATGGAAGAGAACATTGAAGCGGGAGGGTGTTCAAAAGTTTCATATGTGGTTTTTAAAATTTTATTTGACTATACAATGTTACCTTACTGTCAGGTATACAAGATAGCCACTTGGCAAGGTTATGCTATATGCTATGCTCACCACCAGTGTAACTACCACAAGATGTGTTTTTTTAAGCCAAATCCAAAATTATAAAACATACATGCTTTACTGACTTCACATTTCTTCAAATATCCAGACTTCATAGTATGTTTTAAGAATTCCATCCAGTTATTGGTACGTCTGGGTGGCTCAGTCAGTTGGGCATCTGACTTGTGATTTCTGTTCAGGTCATGATCTCATGGACTGTAAGATCAAGCCCCACATCAGGCGCCATGGTGGTCATGGAATCTGCTTAGAGATAGTCTCCCTCTGTCCATGCCCTACTCGCTCACTTAAAAAAAAGAAAGAAAAAATTTCTACAAAATTATTAAAAAGTGATTCAGAATAAATTTTGGAGGGGACTAGAATGATATTCTTAGCTTAAATGATTTTGGTTTACTTTTCTGGGGTTATAACTTAGAGGTAAATTTCTCCCCTTTTCCTTATCCTTAATTTAAACTGAAAATCACTACTAAAAAATCTTAACCTCACACTCTCAGACAGTGACAGCATTGTCTAATCCTTCACTTAATTATTTGGTAAGTCTGAGCCTGTATGCAGCTAATATAACCAATGGTGGAAATCAGCTAAGGGAATGCAGATGTTTGAGGAATCAGAACCATTGCTTGTCATTAATTCTCTCCTAAAATGACCAGCTAAGAAAAAACCCAGACCCCACTCACCTCTTCTTTAAAGACAATAAAAAACAGGTGGCCATTGCACCTTCTCTCTCCTGGGTTCTCAAAATCTTTAACATTTCTTTGTTCTTTGAAATACGTGTTCTAAAACTCCATCACATACATGAGGTGTGTGATTGGGGAAACTTGGATTGCATGTGTTTTCCAACAGAACTACTTGGCCCATGAGGAGCTCCTGATTGCAGTGGAAATGCTGTCTGCTGTTGCTTTACTAAACCAGGCCTTGGGAAACAGTGATCTTGTGTCTGCACAGAATCAACTCAGAAGCCCAACAATAGGCCTCAACAATCTGGATGAGTCATATGTAGAACGGTAAGGGAACATCTTCTAAGCCTCCTTTTAAATACAGAAATGTGTGTTCGGCAGATCTCACAAATTGAAGATATGCTCCTTGCTGAAGAGATCCATGTATCTGTACTCAATTCCTCAAGAGCTAGTCTACGTTGTAATATGAGTTCCTTTTTTTTTTTTTTTTTTACAATATTTCTTTTAGGGGGAGAAAGAATCTAAAAATGACCATGCTGTGACTATTACACACTGACTGTCATTACCAAAGATGATGTGATAGGCTAAAAATAGAAGAGCTATTGAAAACATACCTTCCCTTGGGCTTTTTTTTTTTTTTTTTTTGAGACCACCAAGTGTAGAAGAGTTGGAAGAAACTTTAATAATGATGCAGTCCAATTATTTTATTTTACTGATGAGGAAACTAAATTTGGGTTTATGGACCCGCAGCTGGGCAATTGAATCCCAAAGCCCATTGTTTTGATTGTTAAATCCAAGGAATCCTGAGGCCACAGTGGGTCATGGCAGTGGGTGACAGTCTTAGTATCTTCCGTGCTACTAGGTAGTACAGTTGATGGTATGAAACACTACAGCAGCTCTAGAGAGAAAATTAAGAGGCCAGAATAAGGAGTCCCTTAGAGATTCAGTAAGACAAAAGCCCCAGTAGAAGGAGTGATTTTGCAGCCTGGATATGTGTTAACCGCTAGGGGGCGATGTCCGCACAGATCCTGACAAAGCTCTTTTCAGATCTCTGAGTCCAGCCAAACTGCTTAAATAGACGTTGGATCATTCTCTTGGACCATACACAGTTGTACAAGAAAATTTAAGACTTTAGTTTTTTTTTTAAATGCTTGACCACTTGTCTGTATAGAGAATGGCCCCAAAGTAGTGGGACAGAGAATTTTCTGGTTTGGTTTTCTTGGAGAAACCACTCTTCTTGTTCAACTTAAATGTGGCCACCTGATAAATCTAACTCCTGAGTCTGTTCCCAAGGTATTTATTTCTTCCTTTACTATTTCTAATGGCACTGTTGTCTTCCCCAGGCTTAGAAACCTCAAGTTCCACTCGTTTTCCTCTGTCAGGCAGAGGAAACAGCCTGATCATTACTCCCCATCAGCAGCCAGTCTGTGTGTGTAACATGTCTGCACAATGTTGCTGTTTCCCAGCTACCAACTAACTGGACTTGTCACCTTTGCTTCTGTGATAACTTCCAAATCGGTCCTCCTGTGTCTTTAATGTCCTCCTTCATTCTCACCTAACTGGGCTTGGCTGTTGCCCCTCAGTGCTTGAGTGGAAGACACAGCTGGTGAACTCATCATTTCCTTATGAAGTTCACAGCCCAGTGGGGTTCTCATGGGAAGTCTTGGTGAGGTAATTGTCATGACTGTCCCCCAGATCACACATCCTGGCCACTGCCCTCTAAATATCTTCCTCCTTCCAGATCACTAATGTTGATTACCAAAATTCCTTCCTATCTGTCCCCCAATTTGCAAATAACCCATCAAGGAAATGATCTCACACCCCATTTGAGAATCATTTTTTTCCAAGTGGAAAACCACAGATACAACCTCAGAGTTCAAGTATTCTATTCGGGAAACTTGAAAAAAAATGTTCATTTTAATCACATTTTTGAAGTCTGACCTAAGCACCTTCTGGGTCAGCTGAAAGACCAGTACCAACATGAGATTTCAGGGTCCCCTTTGGTTTTTGGACTGACCCCTGATGGGCTGACATTGTCCGCTTTTTAACCCCGTTCCTGTAAGCCCAAGTTCTCAGATTTTCAAGTTGAAGAAATGGGTTCCATCATGGCCTCTCCCAATGGTTGTCCCAAGTTCTTCATTGCACCATGGGTGGGGGCAGGGCCACCTTGATGAAGTCCTACAAAGCATCTACCTTTTGCCACGGCTTCTACCCTTGACCTGTGGTTCCCCAGGAAGACTCTTCTAATTCTCACAAAAGCGATAGAGAGCTGGTATTGGCTCTAGGCATACGCTGTCCTAGATTAATTGTTCCAAAATGTAGCTATGGTTTCAGTGCTCTCCATTTGACTGTTCCTTGTTCTCACATGCAGTAAGAACAGACTCCTTTCTCTGAGCACGTTGTTCTGACCTTCGCTTCAGCTCTCCTTGAAACTCATGCTTCCATCAGGCCAGATGCGAACATACTGTGTACTTCCTGGCTTGTCTGCTGCTGTGCGCGCTCCTCTCACCCCTGAGAAAGGGGTGCCTATCCTCTCTCCTGGCGCATGACTGGAACTCCCTACCACAGAGGATGCTGTGGTAGCATCACATTCTTTCCATGTTTCTCCCCACCCCCAGCTAATGTCATCTCTCTGGAGAGAACTAGCATGATGTGGTTCAAGGAACACAGATCGCATCGGGGCCAAAGATATCTGAGTCAGACTTTGGACAGCCTTTCCTCTTCATCTCTAAAGTGCAAAAACACCGACTCTGCATCTGCAGGACAGCACTGAGGGTTAAGTGCTTGGTTTGGTCCTTGTGTCAGGGCAAGTGTTCCCACCACTAGGGTTTTCCTTCCACTTCTCCTTCCTTGGAACTCTGGGATTTCTCCTCTTAAAGACTATCTCTTACGGCCTTTCGTGTGCTCTGCCTTTATGACTCGCTTGAATTTTTGTCTTCTTACCCACTGGACAGAAAGCTCCTTGAAGTAGAGGCTTCACCTTGTTCATCCGAGACCCCTGCCGTGTCTGCCACAGGCGTTGCCCCATTTGTTTGATGTTAGTATGGATCTGCTCAACTAAATTGGAATCGTAATCTCCTCAAAGCTTGAGAAGTCTGTTAGAAATGTGGTGTTACTGGTCTGCCCGTAGCCACCAGTGAAGAGGGCTCTGGGAGACATGGAGGGAAGGCCTTGGACCTCTCTGTAAGGGTGAACCACAGAGTGTTTCCTATAGCTGATGCCTGGGGACTAATACATGGGAAAGACTTTGCAGCTCTATTGTTTTACTCCTAAAATCTCTTCCCTTTGGCAACTGTTTGTTCATCTCTAAAGAAATGATGGGCAATGGTGGGGTTTTCCCCGTATTCATCCTTAAGCTTTCTCATTTTATTCCCATTGGATCATCATTTAGATGTTAAGCACGTGAAATGTCCATAAGGATTTTGCACTTGCTTACAGAATGGTCTCTGTCCAAAAGGGATGCTAGGGAGTGCAAGTTGACATTTTGTTATCGTTACTCAATATTATTGTTTATGTATTACTAGTGCAACAGAGTGTTTCTTAGGCTTATAAATTTTGGTAAGGTGAAAATCTCAAATGTGACTGTTAGCCACTTTCAGGCCTGAATTTGATGATGCGTTATTCAGCCACAGATAAAAGATCATCACTACCACTTTCTATTTTGAATGTTTTTTCTCTCTCAAGCTACCCCCTGTGGACAGCACCCCAGTGCTACCATAAAGCATGCAGAATTTGGAGAAAATCGGTCACAACCAGGAAACCAGTTTTAAACTTCCTGTGGTGTTACTTTTTCTAACCTCTGCAGTTAACAATCCAAAGGTGCTATTGAGAAGTCCAAGTGCAGGGGCACCTGGGTGGCTCAGTGGGTTGAAGCCTCTGCCTTCGGCTCAGGTCATGGTCCCAGGGTCCTGGGATCGAGCCCCGCATTGGGCTCTCTGCTCAGTGGGGAGCCTACTTCCCTTCCTCTCTCTCTGCCTGCCTCTCTGCCTGCTTGTGATCTCTGTCTGCCAAATAAATAATAAATAAAATCTTTAAAAAAAAAAAAAAGAAGTCCAAATGCACAGTGAAGAAGTATGTAGAGGATTGGCCTTTATTTCCCTGATGTAATGCAAAAGCAAACTAAACTTGAGTTTCTCTACTTGGGTCTAGAACAGCTCATGTTCATTTATGTTTGTAGCATTGGTTCTGTGATTTTTTAAATGGGCAAAATGACTCTTAAGAAATGGGTTTCTTAGAGTCAAGATGGGTAATTTTCTTCCCTAAAACTTCTCCAAGACAAGTAATTGAAGTGGTTAACCAAACCCTCTTTGCCAGAGGGTTGTACATAGTGAGGAGGGTGAAGGGTGAAAATAAGGGCCAAGAATGCCATAGCAGTGAGCGGACACAGAGGGAGGTTTTTGGGTAGCTGCTGTGAAGCCTTAGGAGAAACAGAGAGGTGAAGGACGGACTTGACAGTATTCTCATTCACCTCCCATACTACATCTTCAAGAAAACATACACTGAAGATGTATGCTACTCAGCAAGGTTTCTGGATTTGTATTTTATTTGATTCCTCACTAGACCTCAAGGTAACCCAGCTCGGTTAAGCTTATAGGGGTAAAGGACTCTGAAGTTCAGATTTTGGAAGGAACAAGAAAAATAATAAAAGGAACCCTTGATACAAAGGTTGAGAACCAAGGTGGTTCTAATTTTTACCACGAAAAGTTATCTGAAGCCTGAGCAGAGCCAAAACATGCAAAGGGATGGAAAATGAGAAACTGGGTTGTGGGTTGGGTGTGATTTCACAGAGTTGAGAGCTAAGGGGTTTTGTTTTTTTCTTTTTGCTTGAGTTAGATATGAGGTTGGATTTTGAGGCCCTTTCATTAAACAACATTTGTTCATAAAGTATCTTTATGAAAAAACACCATTAACACAAGGGAGCTTGCCATGTGTTCACAAAGCTGCACAAGACAATTTTGTGTGCGTTTCTGCTCGTAATCGCGTAACATCTACTTTTGGCTATGTGCCAAATTCAAGATGCATGACATGAACAAAGAATGGATGTTGCTGATGAACATGATTATTTTCTCTTCCACAGTTACACAAATGCACTACTCACCTTTAAACTGGAAGCTTTATCCCAAGGACAAGAGAACTTAAGCTGGAATGAAATTCAGAATTGTATTGATATAGTTAATATGGAAATTCAAGAAGAAAATGACCGTAAGTATAGAACACTTCCCTTCTCTTAGTATAATGAGAGAATAAGGTGTCTGGACAACTTAGTTCCCTAAATAAGGGCTGCAAATTTTTGCTCATGGAACTTACGAGAGCCCACCCTGATAGGCAAGTATATATTTATATATAAATTTTATACCGTACCAATGTATTACATACATTACAAAACATAGATAAAAAGACATAAAAGGATAGAATAAAAATGTGTAAATAGAAGTCCTCATGTTTTATTTATTCATACTTCAGAGATGGATACTGTAGAAAATTCAGACTTTTAAGCACTCAACTTTGGCCTTTCATTTGGGCTTTCTAACCTTTGCTTTAGGATCACAAATCATGAGGATTCACCATGTATCTAGAAATTAGGAACTACCTACACGAAAGTGGACAATCCCAGGAGGGTATGTCCTGAAACATGCTTTCTTGAATGTCAACTTGCCTCTTTCTCATTTGCCTCTTGTTTACAAAAACAGAATGAAGAATGGGGGAGGGGGGCTATATAACTCAGCAATCAGTGTATAGTGACTACTTCTCTGTAGCACCAACTACCAAATTCAAGTGTCAAGCAGTCTTTCCCATCATAAGAACAAACCAGCACCATCATCTTTGGCTTTGTCTCAGCTGTTCGATTCATCGGCAACATTTGGATTAAGATGGCCGATGGCACTGACCTCCCCTCCGTCCTCCAGCTTTGACCTGTTTTTCTAACTTGTCCTAAGTTTGCTCAAAGAGTGGGCAGATACTTTTCTCACAAGCTTGGGCTGTTCCAGTGTGTTTTGGTGAAGTCTCAGGTATGGTCTTTGAAGGCAGAATCTAACTTTGGGCTAGTAAAATCACTCTTGAAATAAAACCTAGGACTTTGTTACTTGATTGCACTTGCATAACTTTCTTTGCTTTCTTGACTGTTTCCTATGAGCCCTGTGCCCAACACCACGGCAGGGCTGGTGGTGGTGGTGGTGGTGGTGGTGGTGTTAAACACCTAAGTCCCTAATAGGTAACAGGTGTTCAGATGTGCTGCCGTGACCTCCAGTTCACAGATGTACCACTGTTGTACTGATCCCTGGACAGTTTCTTCACTGTGTCCTTTTTCGGTTGTTTAAATCTCCAGTTCCTCTTCTCTGATCACACAGCTCGCTGCTGCCTCTGATTGTCTTGGACGAAGGCATCACAGGAATCCCTGCGATCAGATGCTTCACACACAGCCCCCTTAGCTCTTCTCTGGCACATTGCCTTGGCAGCTTGTAGTTCTTGCCAGATGTTAGTCAAGAGGGAAGCACTAATTTGAGCAGATGTTCACTATTATCTGGTGTGGGAAGCCTGTTACAAGGCTCAGGCCCCCAGCCCCCAACCCCCTGCTCTCCTACCCTGCTACTTGACCCCTAGCTGCACACTCTTGAGTTGCATGTACCAGTGGTTCGGGTGCTGTGGCTAATGCAACTCAAGGGTAGAGCTCCTGTTTGGGTAAGCAAAACAAAGAATTGGTCCCATCTTGATTTTTTCACTTTTCCCTCGTTCTTTCAGGCAATATTCTGTCCAGGTCTGCTTTAGTGATTTCTATATGTTCTGCTAATACAACAGAGTTGTGTTAGTTCTCAGTGCTAAATGGTTGTATTTTATTCTTATTCTCCCCCCACCCTTTAAGATTTATTTGAGAGAGCAAGACTGCGAGCGGGGGAAGGGTAGAGGGAGAGGGAGAATCTTGTGCAGACTCCCCGCTGAGCGTGGAGCCCCACAGGGAGCTCAGTTTCACAACCCAGAGATCATGAGGAGCTGAAACCAAGAGTCAGACGTTTACCCAACCAAGCCACCCAGGCTACCCTTGACTCTCCTTCTTAACGTTGATTAAAAAGCTGGGTGAAGGATGCCATTTTGTCCCAGACTATCAAATAGAGCCTTTACTTTTTTTCAGGAAAAGCAAAGCAAGTAGTATTTGTATAATTTTTAAAAAAGAATTTTTTTGGTAGATGGACATTATTCCTAAGCAAAAATATGTTTGGATTGATAAAGGATTTATCTCTCTAAGCAGCTGTATTTCTGGTATTTTCCATGGGCTGTTATCACATGACCACTATCCTATTCCTTCTGATGATCATGTTATGAAGGGCAGTTATTTTAGAAACTTCCTTATCATATTTCCTTTCTAGAATTTGTAGAATTCAGTGCAGAGTATTTAATATCTCTGTGCTTTGGTTTGTTTAGTTATGTCAAAATGAGGTATTTCCAAAGTTCTTGACATATTGGGTTTGATATCCTATGTTTAGGTAATTTCTTTAAAAGCTAAGTGAAATAATACTCCATTATGAACTGGCATGAATTGCACAATAGAGTAATTAAATCATCTGAAAAAGCTAAGGATTTTTCATGGACATCTTGAAGGTGCATTACCCTTCCCACCCCACCCCCGCCACATACTTCAAGGTCTAATCTTGTGTCTGAATTGTGATGTGGATAAGGATATGCAACTAATGGGACATGATGAATGTGGAAGGAGAGTTTAATGGAGAAGCTGCCAAATACATTTCCTCAGACTTAGATGCTCCGTCAATTTCTTACTGAAAAGTTTACTTTTCCCCATAGAACCATAGAGGAGCTTCATTTTAACTACGTAGTGTAGACAAGGTAGTTTTCTTTCTTTGAATTTTTACTTTTTTAATTTGGTAGGTACCCTTCTTTGTAGGTTACCTCATCTGGTGTCTCAAAATTGCAATCTGTAAGGGAATGCCGGCTCTTTCATTTGGCTAAAACATTACAGTCTTGTATGATGGTTTTAAAAAGTGGGTCATGCCTCTGTATGCTGCCTACAAGAGACTCACTTTAGACCTAAAGACACCTGCACTTTTGAGGACATGGAAAACCATTTTAAATAGACATCAAAATAAGGCTAGGGTTGCAATTCTTATATCAGACAAACTAGATTTTAAACCAAAACTGTAACAAGAGATGAAGAAGGGCACTGTGTCATAATAAAGGGGTCTATCCAGCAAGAAAATCTAACAATTATAAATATTTATTCCCCCAGCATGGGAGCACCCAGATATATAAGTCAATAACAAACATAAAGAAATGCATTGATAATAATACAATAATAGTAAGGGGCTTTAACATCCCATTTATAGCAATGGACAGATTGTCTAAGCAGGGAAACAATGGCTTTGAGTGACACACTGGACCATATAGACTTAACAGATATATTCAGAATATTTAATCCTAAACCAGCAGAATACACCTTTTTTGAGTGCACATGGAACATTCTCCAGAACAGATCACATACTGGGTCACAAATCAGGCCTCAACAAATACAAAAAGATTGATACCATACCATGCTTATTTTCTGACCACAATGCTATGAAACTTAAAGTCGACCATAAGAAAAAATTTGAAAAGTCCACAGATACATAGAGGTTAAATAACCTCCTACTAAAGAATTAATGGACTTACCAAGAAATTAAAGAAGAATTTTAAAAAATACATGGAAGAAATGAAAATGAAAACAAAACAGTCCAAAACTTTTGTGATGCAGCAAAAACGGTCTGAAGAGGGAAATAGATAGCAATACAGGCCTACCTCAAGAAGCAAGAAAAATCTCAGATACACAACCTAATCTGACACCTGAAGGACCTGGAAAAAGAAAAGCAAATAAAGCCTAAAACTAGCAGAAGAAGGGAAATAGTGAAGAGCAGGAGTAAATGATATAGAAACAAACAAAATAACAGGACAGGTCAATGAAACTAGGAGCTAATTCTTTGAAAGAATTAATAAAATTGATAACCGCCAAGCCAGACTTAACACAAAGAAAAGAAAAAGGACCCAAATAAATCATGAGAAAGGAGAGATCACAACCAACATCATAGAAATACAATTATAAAAGAATATTATGAAAAATATTATGCCAACAAATTGGGCAATCTGGAAGAAATGGATAAGTTCCTAGAAACATCTAAACTACCAAAACTGAAACTAAGAGAAGTAGAAAATTGGGACAAACCCATAACCAGCAAAGAAATTAAATCAGAATCAGTAATCAAAAAATCTCCCCAAAGGGGACCTAGCTGGCTCAGTTGGTTATACATTTGACTCTTGATTTCAACTCAGGTCATGATCTCGGGGTCCTGGGATTGAGCCCCTCCTTCGGTTCCACACTGGGCAAGGAGACTGCTTGGGATTCTCTCTCTCCCTTCCCAGCCCTCTGCCCTGCCCCACTTGCACACTGTCTCTCAAAACAAAAACAAAGACATTAAAAAACTCAAACAAAAGTCCAGGGCCAGACGGCTTCCCACGGAAATGTTCTACCAAACATTTAAAGAGTTAATACGGGGTGCCTGGGTGGCTCAGTGGGTTAAAGCCTCTGCTTTCAGCTCAGGTCATGATTCCAGGGTCCTGGGATCGAGCCCCTCATCGGGCTCTCTGCTCAGCAGGGAGCCTGCTTCCTCCTCTCTCTCTGCCTGCCTCTCTGCCTACTTGTGATCTCTGTCAAATAAATAAAATCTTTAAAAAAATAATAAAGAGTTAATACGTATTTTTCTCAAACTGTTCAAAAAAAATAGAAATGGAAGGAAAATTTTCAAACTCTTCCTACAAAGCCTCATTATCTTGATTCCAAAACCAAAGACCCCACTAAAAAGGAGAGGTACAGACCAATATCCCTGATGCAAAACTTCTTAACAAAATAATAACAAAGCAAACCCCACAGTACATAAAAATAATTATTCACCACAATCAAGTGGGATTTACTCCTGGGTTGCAGGGGTGACTCAGTATTCACAAATCAATCAACGGATACACCACCTTAATAAAAGAAAGGGTGAGTACCATATGATCCTCTCAACAGATGCAGAAAAAGCATTTAACAATTACAGCGTCCTTTCTTGATTAAAATTCTTCACAGGATAGGGTTAAAAGGAATGTACCTCAATCATAAAAACCGTATGTGAAAGACCCACAGCTGATATCAGCCTCAATGGGGAAAAGTGAGTAAAGTCTCAGGA